GCAACCCCCATGTTTGTTTCTGTGTATTAGCTAGGGCTGCTTTGACTCTGTGTCTTGGTGGCGTGGCCTATTGTAGTAGGTGTCCTCTAGGATCCAGTGGCACAGTCTGAGTGAGTGTGTGTGTGAGAAAGGCGGGTTAGGAAGGGGAGTGTGCCCTGAGATGGAAGGAGGGTTACCCTAGTGCCCTGAGCTGCTAGGATAGGCTCAGGCCACCTGCTACCCTGAAATGATATAAAAGGGTTGAAAAATAATCATCTTCCTTGTTTTCATTCATCTTTCTAAGTGTATAGCTCACATACACTTCAATGTTTAATATTCAAAGTGTTTATTTAGAAGTTTGGTGACATTTTTGGACCAGAAATATGCCAAAGGAACTGAACTGTTGTTAGTATCAATTAGCCTATGGTAAAACTGGTTTTGTTATAAGTCGTTTCACTTAAAGTCGCAGTTTCCAAAAAGTTATCTATGATGTTGAGTACTTATGACATTCTGCTTTTAAAAAATAACTTCTGGCTTGCCACCAGGCTTTGGTAGACTGAATGACCAATCATGCATGGGGCATCAGGTGATTCTGTAGCCTAAAACTTCCCATTAGGAACTGTGCAGCCAAACATTAAGGTTGGGCATGAGCAATAGCTACCAATCTATTATTAAATAAATGTGGTATATAAGAGAATGAGTTTAGCCAGCTCCACAGTAAGTTGCAAGAGTGTGGCTCAGACTCCAATATCAACACCTGTTGCATTATCTCTTCTACCTCAATCTGTGCCTATGTCCACCTAGGGAGCTGCACCAAAAAAGAAAAACTTGAGCACGTTTTACAGATGAGTGTGCACAACATGCTGGTCCCACCTGAAAGTGGACAGCCCCACCCAGAGGTAACCCTGAAGGAAGGTGGTGAAGGAAAATCCTCTTAGAGAACAGAACTTCAAGCAGTACATCTCATGGTCCATTTTTTCTGAATTGGGAGACAGTTGAAATTATCAACCTAAATAGGTTCATGGGCAGTTACTAATGGTTTAGATGAGTGGTTACGGACTTGGAAGGAACAAGATTAGAAGACTGATAACAAAGAAGTCTGGGAGGAGGCATGCAGAAGGATCTTTCACAATGAGCACAGACTTTGAAGATGTCTGCATCCCATATGAGTACCCAAAGGGTACCCACTGTAAAGGAAGCTTGTAATAATCAGGTAGACAAAATGACATGCTCTTTGGATGTCAAACTCTTTCCCCAGCCACCCCAAATGCTTATTCAATGGGCCCATGAATGACGTGGCCAGAGGCAGAGATGGAGAATACACAGACTCAATGCTAATGCTACTGCTGGTACCTAATCTGCCAACAGCAGAGACCAACACTGAGCCTGTAATATGGCATCATTCCTTAAGTAACCAAACCTACTGTTTTTTTTAAAGTATATTTTATTGATTATGCTGTTACAGTTGTCTCACTTTTTCTCCTCTTTAACTCCGTCTGCCCTGCACTCACCCACTCTCTAGGGTTCCTCCCCTGCTTAGTTCATCTCCGTAGCTCATACATGTAAGTTTTTTTTGCTTCTACATTTCCTATACTATTCTAAACCTCCCCGTCTATTTTTAAATGTATTTTATTAATCATGCCATTACAGTTGTTCTATTCCCCCCTTCATTCCCCTCTACCCTGCACATCCCTCCCCCACCATTCCCCCTCCTTTAGTTTATGGCCACATGTCTCAAGTTCTTTAGATTCTATATTTCCCATACTATTCTTGCCCTCCCCCTATTTTCTACCTACCATCTATGCTACTTATTTTCTGTACTTTCTCCCCCCTTCTCCTTCTCCCACTCCCCTGTTGCTAACCCTCCATGTGATCTCCATTTCTATGGTTCTGCTCCTGATCTAGCTGTCCTCTTAGTTTGCTTTTGTTTTAGGTGTGGTTAATAACTGTGAGTTTGCTGTCCTTTCATTGTTCATCTTTTTTATCTTCTTTTTCTTAGGTAAGTCCCTTTAACATTTCATATAATAAGGGCTTGGTGATGATGAACTCCTTGAATTTGGTCTTATCTGAGAAGCACTTTATCTGCCCTTCCATTCTAAAGGAAAGCTTTGCTGGATAGAGCAATCTTGGTTGTAGGTCTTTGGATTTCATGACTTGGAATACTTCTTTCCAGCCCCTTCTTGCCTGTAAGGTGTCTTTTGAGAAATCCGCTGACAGTCTGATGGGAACTCTTTTGTAGGTGACTGTCCCCTTACCTCTTGCTGCTTCTAGGATTCTCTCCTTCATTTTAATCTTGGCTAATGTAATTACTTGTTCCTTCTTGGGTCCAACTCCTTTGGGACTCTCTGAGCTTCCTGGATTTCCTGGAAGTCTATTTCCTTTGCCAGAATGGGGAAGTTCTCCTTTATTATTTGTTCAAATAAGTTTTCCACTCGTGACTGTTCCTCTTCCCCTTCTGGTACCCCTATAATTCGGATGTTGGAGTGTTTAAAGATGTCCTGAAGGTTCCTAAACCTCTCCTCATTTTTTTGAATTCTTGTTTCTTCATCCTTTTCTGTTTGGTCATTTTTTTCCTCCTTCTGGTCCACTCCTTTGATTTGAGTCCCAGTTTCCTTTCCATCAGTATTGGTTTCCTATGTATTTCCCTTCATTTCAATTAGTTTAGCCTTCATATGTTCCTCTAATTTGTGACTAAAATCAACCAGTTCTGTGAGCATCCTGATCACCAGTGTTTTGAACCGTGCATCTGAAAGTTTGGCTATTTCTGCATTGCTTAGGTTTATGGGCTCTGGGGCTCTGAGTTGTTCTTGAGCCTTGTTTTGATCTGTTCATGCCTGTTACGTAGGAGGAGCAGAGCCTTAGTTGTTCACCAGGGCGGGGCCACCTAGGTCGCTGGTTTGTGATGCTGTATGTGGGGGCGGGGTCAGAGAGGGACAATGGCATTTCCCTCTGCTGCTTCCTGCCGCTGGGGCCTGCTAGGTCCATCTCACTGCTAGCTCCTTCACTGGTTTATCTGCTCGTGAATGTGTGATCGTGAACAGCCCTCAGTGGGTCCGCCTGCTTCTCCATACCTGGGATCCACCCAGGGCTGCTGGTGCACCTGGGTCGTGCACCGGGTGGGTCCGGTGAATCTTTCCTGTCCGACCCCGCTCTGCTGCTGGCTCTGCCCCTTTTACTGGTTTGGTTTGGTTTGGCTGAAGGGTTCGTTGTTATCAGACTTAACGTGTAGTTCAATTTTCTGTGGTTTGGCTGCATTTCTGTTGCTAAAACTTTACTGTTTTTAAACTTAGTTGTGCAAGAAGGTGCAGTGCTTCCACCTATGCCTCCATCTTGGCAGAAGTCCCCCCAAAACTACTGTTTTATTTAAATCAGTCAACAATGTTTTATTCTATTAGTCAAGAAGTACAGATTTCATTTAATCAAAGGCCAATTCAGGCCTCAAGACACAACTTTAAAGATGGGATCAAAACTAAGATGTCCCACACCATCTATCTAGTAGACTGTATCTTGATACTTAAATTTAATAGTTATTCAACTAAATCAATTTAGCTGCAATCAGAAGTCTTACTTTTTTAAAAGACCAAAAGCCTCTCTGCAACATTATTAGAAAAAAGTCAGTAAAAAATTACATTTTTATGTCATCAAATTGTAATCTGAGGCCCCACAATACGAAGCACTGCGGACAGAGCAAATTCACCAACACAACTGACGTTCTTTCTAACCACCCTCCTCTTCTTTTACCTGATAATCATGGTGGTGATAATGAACAATTACGTATTAATAGGCACTAGTCCAAGAGCTTTATTAACTGTTAATTCATTTATTCCTCAAAACTAGCCTATTAAATAGGTTCCATTATTACCCTCATTTTTCAGCTGAGAGAATGGAGGTACAAAGGGAGGAAGCAAGCACACAGTGGGCGCAGGCGGTCTGGCTCTAGAGTGGCACCCTCTTGAGACTTCTGCTGAGGGCTCTAAGTAGCAGCCTGCCAAAGTCCCATAAAGCCTCTTAAACAGGTACTATTACTATCTTCATTTCATATTCAATAAACTAAAATTCATCCAAAGTAAGATAATAACTAATAATAATAGGATTATTATGTCTAGTTTGACTTTCTCTAAAAACCAATTTCTTAACTACTAAGACACGGTACGTCTCTCTATAATCATTAATATCAACAAATCTAGAAACCATCAGATCAACCAGATCAACTTTCACATAAAACTAAAGATCAAATAGGACTAAAATATTATGCCATGGTGTAAACTTAAAAGATTACACCCTCAGAAAGTATGAAATATCAACTGATTTCTGCCAAGTATTTCCCAATTACCAACAAGCAAAGACATTTATAAGATTAGAGAAAATACACAACCTACATAAAACAGCTTAACGTAAGAGATAAACATTGGGTTGGCCAAAGTTTGTTGGTTTTTTTCCCCCAAAGATGGCTCTAACCATGCTTAGTTGTCTTTAACTTCATTTGAAACAATTTTGTGAGACTGTGCTGTGACAGCTGTCATATGAGTATGCATCTAAAAAAAACTTATGAAAACTGGTGAATTTTTGTGTAGCCACTTTAATATTAAAGATGGAAGAAAACACGCAACATTTCTGGTGTATTATGTTTTACTACTTCAAGGGTAAAAATGCAACTGGAACATGCAAAAAAAAAAAAGATGGGTGCAGGGTAAGGAGAAGGTGCTGTAACTGATGAAACGTGTCGAAAATGGTCTGTGAAGTTTTATCTGGAGATTTCTCACTGGGTGATGTTCCCCAGGCAGGTACACCCATTGAAATTCATAGTGATCAAATTGATACATTACTTGAGAACAACCAATGTTCTACCACATGGGAGATGGCCAACACATTTAAAATATCCAAATTAACAGAATTACTGGTGAAAATGAAAAGTGTATCTTTTATTTTACAGTAAAAACTAAATGGACTTTTTGGTCAACCCAACAGATACAATGTTAACTCTGCCTGCCATGTACACTACGCAACAAATATGAACGTACCTGCAAGGAGGCAAGACCATGGAGTCTTTCATAAGCACAGATCCAGAAAGCAGGATGTACCAACATCTGGCAATAGTTTCTGAACTGTTTAAATAAATAAGTAAGTAAATGAGTAAATAAATACACACACATGTATATGAAGCCAACAGAAAATACATAACATGAAATACACTGATACTGAAAATCATTAAAAATTAAGTAACACAGACCATGTTCACACAGGAAAAACTACAATCATTACCTGATGATAGACTTCAGAAGTATATTTTGTGTGGTGACTGCTGGGGAGGGGATAAAGGGACTAAATGGTAACAGAAAAAATACAATAAAGATTAAATCAAAGTCTAAAAAGAGGTATGTTTATTAGCTTTATCTTATTAATTACATCAAATTCACATTCTTCATTTATGTGTACTAGACCATCAATCACATCTGATGAAGATTAACTTAAAAATTGTACTACATCTGCGCAGTAGAAATTCTATTTCTGATAACTTTCATGTATACTGAAGATAGTATTATTTGAAATTCACAAATTTATCAATGTTATATCTTCACTTCCAACTAAATTTGGATAATAATGATCTACTTATTGCATTCAACGTTATTCTGAAAAACATGAAACTATGCCTACCTAGGACTCTCATTTTATATGTATGAAAGATAAAATAAAAGAATATCAGATGACTTAAGTCCATCAACATTTTAGTTCAGTTAAATCTCCAGTGAAAACCCAGAATCTTGTTAGATGTTAGTTTATAATCTAAACTAATTTCTTTCCATCAAATATCTTTATTTACCATACCTAAGGCTTCAATCAATTTTAATATAAAGATTCTAATATCTATAAAACAAATCTTTCCTCCGAGATGAAGAACTGTATGAGGTCATCCAGAAAAAGTCCAACCACTGTTAATATAATGAGAATGGTTTGAGCAACATTGATGTAACCTGGCAGCCAAGAAGAGTGGACTGGGATGTGTGAACAATGATGACTTCACTGTACTACTCAGTGGGGGCATTAGCTGCCATTGAGTGAGCATGCGTACTTGTGGCCATTGCATTCAAAATGACTGAGCAAGTAGAGCAATAAATCGATACCAAAGTTTGTGCTAAGCTTCAACATTCCTCCACAGAAACTATTCAGATGATTCAGGAGGACACAGCTATGGACAACTGGTGGCTGGCAGTTTCACCATGACAACTGCCCCTGCTCATGCAACACGTGTGTAGAGTTTTTTGGCAAAATATTAAGTTACCCAGGTGACTCAGCCCCTCTACCACCCAGATTTGACACCCTGCAACTTCTGCCTTTCCCAAAAGTAAAATCCCCTTTGAAAGAGAAGGGATTTCAGACCATTGATGAGATCCAAAAAATACAACAGGGCAGCTGATGGCAACTGGGAGAACTGTGTGAGGTCCCAAGGTGCCTACTTTGAAGGGGATTAAGGCATCATGGTCCTATGTGCAATGTTTCTTCTATTTTGTATCTTCTTCAATAAATGTTTCTATTTTTCATATTACGTGGCTGGATAATTTCTGGCCAGACCTTGTATATCTATCTATCTTGCTTCTATCTTTCTATCTATCTACTTGACAAGTCATCTTACATATCTAACAGAAAACTCAAACTCAAAATATTCAAAATCTACCTATCATTTTCTTCAAGCCTGGATCTTTTCTAGTATTCTATGTCCTCAATGAATATAGTACCATCCTCCATCCAGAAACCCAGGCCTCCAATCCATTCTACACGGCTTTCTGGGTTAATCCTAACTGCTTACCACGAGAAGGAAAAATCAGGGTGAATTTTCCAGTGGATACTTTAAAGTTTGTTATATCCCTTCTACTCTTCACCAAGGGGAAGATGTAAATGGCTACAAAATTCCTGCTTAAGGTTCTTTATTTAGAAATTCCACCTCTGCCCCTGGCTGGTGTGGTTCAGTGGATTGAGTGTCAGCCTACAAACTGAATGGTCACCTGTTCAGTATCAGGGCACATGCCTAGGTTGTGGGCTGGGTCACCATTTGGGGGTGAACAAGAGGTAACCAATCAATGTTTTGCTTCCTCTTTCTCCCTCCCTACTCCTCTCTCTGAAAATAAATAAAATCCTTTAAAAAATAAAAATCTCTTTAAAAAATAAAAATTCTACTTCCTTATTCTTTTGAAATACGAGTTTTACAAATTCAAGAAGAAAAAAATCAACACAGAAAAAATTTGTCCAAAAATAAGAGAGAAGAAAGTTATGAATGGATGCCATGACAAGCATCCAAATTTTATCTCGCTTGGCTGAAGCAGTCACAGTTATCAGTAAATTCCACTACAAATGCAGGAAAAATCCTGAAGTTCACGCCTACCACCAAGAGAACCAAGCCAGCTTATGAATCAGAAGCAGTTCAGATCTGGCAAAGAATTTCACTGTCATAGCATGGCTGGACAGTGCAGCTGGTAAGTGAACAAAGGAAAGTGAAACTCTTTAAGGTGGGGTGCTATTTTCTCCCTTCTTTTTGCAAGCAAATCAATCCAAGAAAAATGCAGCCCAGAGAAGGGCAGTACACTTAATCTTGTCAGATTTTATTCCTTCAAAGGCTTCATACAGCTCCTAAAATAAAGGCCTGGACCTACCACTCCAAGCTCCTCTCACTGTTGGTCCTGTTCTTTGCTCATGGCCCCTGAACAGTTTATACATTTTTTTTTCAGTTTCCATATTTTTTATTTTATTTTTCTATTACAATTTGCATTCAACACTTACATAGTTTCAGGTGTACAGCACAGTGAATAGGCATTCATCTAAGTAACAAAGAGATCCCTCCAATAATTCAAGCACCCAACCTGCCACCACAGATGGTTATTACAATACAGTTACCTATATTCCCTGTGCTATACCTTACATCCCTGTGACTATTTTGGAAGTACCGATTCCGAACACACTGGTTTTATAAGAAGCGTGCACACACCAACACAGTCCAGTTTTGGAACACTGCTACCATCACAGAGATCTCTTGTGCCATTTTTGCGGTCAATCCCTACCCCCACATAACCAATTAGCTGCTTTGTCTCTATAGATAAAATTCCTATTACCTGGATAGTTAATATAAATGGAATCTTATAACATGGGGTGTTTCTGTCTTGCTGCTTCCTGTCAACACAATATTTTTGAAGTTTCCTTATAGTCGTACAAGTAAGTACTTTATTCCTTTTTAACTCCTAAATAGGATTTTACCCATATGAGCACACTGAACTTTATTTATCCACTCACTGGACTTCTTCACTGTTTCCAGTTTGGGGCCAGTACAAACAGTGCCACTAAAGAGCACATGTGTGTGGTCTCTGCATGCATATTTGTTTTCACTTCTTTTGGGTGAGTATGCAAAAGTGGAATTACTGGCTCTCATGGTAAAAAGTGCTTAACTTTTTAAGAAACTACCAATCTCCTAAAGTGGCTGTATCAGTCTTCATCCTCACCAGCAATGTACAAGGGTTCTAGGTGTCACTGACATGTCCTCTCCAACACTCATTACTGTCCACATTTTTGACAGGAGGTATTCTGATGGGTATAAAGTGCTATCTCTTTAATTACTGTATATGGTATAAGGGTCTGAATTAACTTTCTGCATGTAAAAACTCAGCACCATTTGTTGGGAAAAAAACTGCTTTCTCCACTGAAATGCTTTAGCACCTTCATCAAAAATAAACTGTTCATTGCTGGTTCCTTTTAAATCCTCAATTGTTTTTAATCCTCAACTGTGTTACAGTCACATTGTACACAGGTCTTAGTTACAAGGCATTTGTAAAACAAACCTGTTCGCAAATACAACGGTTTATTTCTGGGCTTTCAGTTCTGTTCCAATGATCTGTGAAGCTATACTTTTCCTGGATAGCACTTCACTGTGTATAACTATTCTAACTCACTCTTTCCTCCACTACACGATACTCGATATGGGCAAACACATTGTCTTTCCACCATTCTGTACCAGGATAAGCACAGCATATAGTGGACAAACATGTATTAATAAATGAATGAATCAACAAGTGAGTAAGTGTAACTATTAAAACTCATATGAATCATTTAAATAGTTGAGACATAATAAATATGACATGCAGGCAATGAAACATGAAAGTCAGCACCATTCCTATTTATCAGTTGAATCTTTATATAATAAAAAAGGTCACTGTTGCCAAAAGTTTTAGGAAAAAAAAAAAGAATTATCTTCATAACCCTGAGGAAGAGATAGGTTTGTTTTTTTAACTAGGCATGGAAAGCACTAATGACAAAGGGAAAAACTGGGAAAGTAAGAAATTTCTTTTCTTGAAAACATGCCATTAATAGAGCGAAAAGGAAAGCCACGTTATGGGAGAAAATATACACAATGTAAGTATCCAAAACAGGACTTGGATATAGAAGTCTGAAAGAATTTCTACAAACAGAGATATAAGACATACAATTCAATTTTAAAAAATGGTCACAGTTGAATTGGGATTTCATGAAAAAGCTATCCAAATATCCTATAAAAATATGAAAATCATTCCTCATCATCAGTAAACAGGGAAGTGTGAGATAAAATCACAGTGAGATAACAAAATGAGAAGTGCATGCTAGATCCTACTGTTAGAATCCTCTAAATTTGTGCATGTGCAGTTTCAATAATTCTATTCCTAAGTGACCAACGGTAATATAAGGACACAAAAAGACATGAACAAAAATGTTCAAAGCTATTCATGATAGTAAAAAACTGAAAACAACCTAAATATCTGTTAATGAGACAAAATGTTATTTTCACAGAATTGTATTCTGTTAAGCAGTAAAAAAGAATGAATGTGAACACAGGGAAGAATTTCAGACATTTGTGACATCAGGAAAAAAAAATAACCAAAGATTTTTATCTATATGACATTTAAAAACAGACAAAAATAACATAGTGTGATAGAAGGCAGAACTGGATTTGCTTTTCAAGAAAAGCAACTAGAGCCTTCTAAAAAAGCTGACATGTTTCTGTATGTTAACATGGGTAGGAGTTACCCAGGTGCATATATTTATTAACCTTTGTCACAATATACACATTTTGTAAGCTATGCCTGATATATTTCACAGTTTGTGAATATATTTCAATCAGCTCTACAGAAATTATTCAAGAATCAAATGAATTTCAATTCTTTTGAATAGGTCAGTTTGTTTGTTTTTTTTCCCCATAAGATGGCTCTAGTAGCACTTAGCTGTCTTTAACTTAATTTGAAAAAATTTTGTTAGATTGTATTGCAACAGCTGTTATATCAGCATGCATTTTTTAAAAACTTATCAAAATTGGTGAATTTTTGTTCAGTCATTTTAATATTGAGATAGAAGAAAATATGCAGCATTTTCATCTTATCACGCTTTATTATTTCAAGAAAGGTAAAAATGCAATTGAAACAAAAAAGATTTGTGCAGTGTATGGAGAAGGTGCTGTGACTGATCAAACTTGTCAAAAGTGGTTTGTGAGCTCTCATGCTGGAGATTTCATGCTGGAAGATGCCCCACAGTGAGGCAGACCAGTTGAAGTTGACGGTGGTCAAATCAAAACACTGAAAATCATCAATATTATATACCTCAGTGGGAAACAGCTGACATAGTCAAAATATTCAAGTCAATAAAGTCATTAGTGAAATGAAAAATGTGTATTTTACAGAAAAAACTATACAGATTTTTTGGCCAGTCCAATAAAAGTCAAAATTTAAACATTAAAGCAATTAATTTAAGCTAATTCTGCAAATACTCACCAAAAAAGAATCTGATTGCCACTGTATCTCTCATAGCGTGCTCTTGCAGACATTAATCTAAAATGTTTTAAAAAGTAAAAAATTTAAAGATTTTTATCTTAAATTGTTTAAAAAATCCTGTTATAATCACCTCAACAGAAAATTATCAGATTATACTGTCCTCAATTTTTTAGTAAACTAGAGTTTAGAAATATATTCAATAAATGTAGTATTCTCACAAATATTAAGGGCAACAAGTATAATACTCTCTATGTACATTCTATAACCTATCAATTCACACTAAATAATGTTCTTTTTATTTTGAGAAAATGTGCATTTGTCTGCTTTGCACTGAATCCTTGTGTGAAGAACAGTTACTGGCAGAGGCAAATATATACACGTACACAAATTTGTTGAATATATAAATTTGTTTGCATTTAAAAATACTCAGCATTACTAAGTCCTCTAACTTTTAGTCTTTTTTATTTGATACACACTAACACCTGAATGATATTATATAGAAAATAATAAACCCAGAGAATTAATTAGCAATCTGGTCCATAATGCAAAACCTAAAGAATGACCAGAAAATGGGATGGATAAACTGGCAAACAAAGAAAAAACATTTTAAATAAAATGTTATGCAAAGTTACAATAGTTAGCACTTTAGAACACTCACAAGTGTTCTTACTAACAGTGTGAGCACAATGACACACAGGAGGAGAAAACCTCCTTTTACAACAACAGGAAAATGAGGTTCAAAAAATTTATGAATCTTGTCCACAAGGGCTTATACCAAATCAGGAACACTGCTCCTTCCACTCTGATATGACACTACATCATACCATATGCACCTTAAGCATCTGACGTAGTAAGTATCAGTAGGAACCACAAAATGAAGAGTTGTTTTCACTGGCTAGCACACACTGAGCACTGTGCTTTGCTTTACATAGTTAGTTACACCTGCACCTCAAACAGCACAAGTTTCAACTAAGCAGGTATACATATATGTGGATTTTTTCCAGTAAGTACTGTGAATGCATTTCTTTTCCTTATGATTTTCTTACTATGTGTTAATAGATTGCTTATATTATTGGTAAGGCTTCTGATCAACAGTAGGCTATTAGTAGTTATGGTTTGGGGGAGTCAAAAGTTATAGAGATTCCCACAGTTAAGAAAAATTGAGATGGAAAACACAATTATTATGCTTATCCTACAAAAAGCCCCTCAAGATTTGGACCCTGCAACTATCTCCCTAAACTCACTTGAGTAACTCCACAGTACAAGCTTTTAAATACAGCATCACACTTACCTAAGCTGATGTTCCCTGAGGTTTGATAATATTTCCATTCCATGAAGATAAGCATAAATAGTGTTTAAGTCCTAAAGAACAGAAAATATTTTAGATTATTTCAAATATCCTTCTTAAAAATAGGATGACCCACAATTCTGATTTTAAGCAAACAATCCCTGATGACAGGGCTGTGATATGGAAAAGTCATACAATCTCTGAATTATAAGAGATCTAAAAAGGCAGAGAACTCCTCAACCCCTCCTCAGCACAGCTGATGGCCTGCACTCAAACAATGCCAGTCACTGAAAACTCACCATTTCATAGGAAAGTCTAATTCATTTCTAGACAGATGTAACCCTTCTTCTTCAGTGACCTCCAAGTATTTGAAAAGTTGTCATAAAATCTTTTGGATTTTATTTTTTCCCCCTTCCAGATTACAGTCTCAGTATTTGCAGGTTCCAGACCTTTAAGCATCCTGGCTGACTTCCTCTGGAGATGACCCAGTTTATCAATATTCCTTTTAAATATGAATTTGTAAAAAATCTTTTTCTAAAGGATCTCAAAGTGATATTAATGTACAATGAGACAATACTACTGTTCACTCTGAAAGAGGGAGAGAACCCCCCCTTAGCCCTCGTTCAGATACCTAGGTATTAAAAACCCCAGGATGATACAGGACAACCTCAGCCAGGAGCAGAAGATGGCAGAGGAGAAAGTGGGAGTGGTCCACATGACTGACAGAGGTGGTTTGCAGCTGATGCTAGACAGAATGTTGGTGTACTGGGACTATAATTGGTTTAAGCTATCTACGTAAAATGTACCTCCTTATTCTTTTATAGGGAATAATGCCTTAATACCAGCACAGCCTAGACACTACTTTCTTGCTTTGATTTGCCAACTAGACAAGAGGATTATCGGATGACAGGGAGAAAAGGCAAGGCACCTAAGACAACTTGTTTCCATTAGGTTAATAAAACAACATGGAACCACTAAGAAAAACAGCAATAAACTTTGATTCCAACAATTACAACTGCTAATCAACCAGGATGTATTCAAGGGCCACACATATCTCTGTTAAGTCCTTACTAAAATGAGACTGAAAAAGCTTTTTAGGTAGTTAGAAAAATGAACAGATTCAAAAAGGAAGCCAAAGAAAATACGGAAGGTCTCTAAAATTCTGAAAGACAGCAGACAAGGTGGCTGACGTGGTAAACTGTGTCTCCCAAGATGGCTGCGATGATGATGCTTCTGATTCCGTAAGTTGTTCTGCAATGAGACTTCGCCACCACCCCCGCCTCAAAAACTGGAGTCTCTGTGCCCTCCCCACAGATCTGGGTACTTCTGCAAATTTGCCCACACCAAAAGAATGTGGCTGAAGTGAGGCTGTGTAACTTCTAAGACTCAAGTGTCCTGAGACCACCAGAGTTGGGAGGAAGACCATGCTGGCCTCACTGACAGAGAAAGGCCACAAGCAAGCACCAAGGCACCAGATGGGTAAGTGAGCCCCTACTTCTTAAAGGAATCCAGCTACCAGCTAAACGGAACCAAGAGAATGATCCCAGTCAAGGTTCTACGGGGCAAAAGAACCAACTTCTGGTCAAAATGTTCTCAATTGGGGTAATAAATAGAGTCCTGGCAAAAGTCTGACTCATAGTGAGCTCACTGAGCCTGCAAACCCACCTAAAACTCTCTTTCCGCTCCCCCCAAGTTTATAATTACAACGTATATCAACCCCCACAATGGGTCATGACCTATGTATAGCAAAAGCTGTCATGGTGGAAAAAGCCAAGTGAAAACCTCTGAAATTTCCCCAACCCCCAGAACAAGACAGTAAATAAAACACAATATTGTTTCCAGAGGGGCAAAGGAGAGCAGACTGGTGCCACCAGTAAAGACTTCAATTGTGCAGGGGTGCTGCAGAAAGCAGACGGACCCTAAACGTGCCTGCAGGCTGCCACAGACTTACCCAAATGTAAGCCCTGGTCACGGCTGCAGTCCCAGATATTAAAACTGCTGCTGGACTTCAGATATTTTTTACTGTAGATTTTATTTATTTACTTTTAGAGGGAGGAGGAAGGAGGGAGAGCAAGAGGGACAGAAACATCCATGTGGGAGAGATACATCAATTGGGTGTCTTCTGCACGCCCCCAAGTGGGGAAGCTGGCCCACAGCTGAGGCATGTGCCATAACCGGGAACTGAACCACTGACTTGTTGATTTGAAGGCCAGTGTTCAATCCACTGAGCCGCATCAATCAGTGCATGCTTCAGATACTGATTTGGTGAATGGGTATTTTTCTATTCTAATTACAAAAGAGGATCAGAAACAGTATGCATGAGGGACAACATTAACTTACAATATTAAGTTACAATTTTACCTTAGGGCTATTTTAACTCTCTTATTCTCTATCAAAATATAGTCTGAAGACATCTAGACCTCCTGAATGATTACATAGATGATCTCTTGCTGAATGGACAGAATGAACAAGAGAATGAGCAAAAGGTGGCTGGTAGCCAAAAGTCCCCAGTAACACATTCAGGAAGTGGGAGATAAACTCTATGTGGACTCAAAGACCTGCCACTTTAATGTTTTGAGAGGTGAAGTGGTCGGGGGCATTCCAGGACATCCCTCCAAAGTAAAAGACAAACTGCTGGGACTTTATCTTTAGCTCAAGATGTAACAAGAGGAACTGAACTTACCCTCCACCTAAAACAACCTCAAATCAAAACAAATATATGAAACATTTTTTTTACTTTTTAAATTTTTTTAAATTGATTTACTTTTAGAGAGAGGGAAGAGAGGGAGAGAAACATCAATGTGTGGTTGCCTCTCATGAGCCTCCTCCTGGGGACCTGGCCTGCAACCCAGGCATGTGCCCTGACTGGGAATCGAACCGGTGACCCTTTGGTTCACAGCCTGCGCTCAATCCACTGAGCTACACCAGCCAAGGCGAGAAACATTCTTTAAAGAAATAAAACCTCACTGTCATGACCAGTGTGGCTCAGTTGGTTGGGCAACATGCCAAAAAGCAAAAGGCTGCCAATATGATACCAAGTCAGGGCACATGTTTGGGCTGCACACACGGTTCCCAGCTGGGGTGCAGGTAAAAGGCATCTGATCAATGTTTCTCTCACTCTCTCCCCATCCCTTACCCTCTCTCTAAAAACAAATACATAAACCTTTAAAAAATGAAAGAAAAAGAAATGAAAGCCCAGGAAACAAAAGACAGTGACATCAGAGACAGGGGAAACAAAGGAGGTAATTTACACGATTATCACACCTTACTGGTGGTACCCATGCTAGTGGTTCCTCTAGCAGGGAAGGAGTTAGAGGGAAGGAGGAGGGAGCTAGACTTTGCAGAGAAGAGTGCTACACAGAGAGTATGTTCTGGAAACCTACGGAGTCTCCTTTGAGTCTTAAGTTGAGTACTGATCATCTCATGTATGTAAAGAAACAGAATCTGAAGTCAGGGAAAAAACCATCGGAACCGACTAGAGCAGTGTTCCCCAACCAGAACTGATTTTGCCCCCTGGGTGACAGAGCAATGTCTGTCACATTTTGGGGGGGAGAGGTGCTAAAAGCATCAAGTGACTAAACCCAGAGATTCTACTGAACACCCTACGATGTGCAGGACAAGGCCCTAGACTAAAGGGTTACGTGAGCCAAGATGTCCAGTTTGTCTACAGTTGAAGTGTAAACACCCGGACTGGAGGGGAAAATACCCCAAACTCACACAGGCACAGGAAGAGTTCCTGCTCCCAATAGGCAAGTGGGAAGTCCCGGCTCACAGTACACCTAGGAGAGCGCTCAGATCTGAGGCACAATTACTGCTAGACTAAATGCCACACTGGTGTTACACGACATAGCCTGAAGAACCAAATGATGTCCAAATTACTTCGCTGAGTCCAGAACAAAGCTGAAAAATATTTATAGGAAATACAAAAAATATTCAGTACATAAAAAGGTAAAATCCAGAATCTTTGGTATTCAATCAAAACATACCAAGCAAACAGAGAATCAGGGAAAAACGACCTATAATGAGAAGAAAAATCAATCCAAACCAACTCGGTAATTACACAGATAATAAAACTGGTAGAAAAAGACATTTAAAAACCTTATTAAAAATGTTCCATGTGTTCACAAGAAACATTATTCCACAGACAATGAAAGATACAGATTAAACACAGAATAAACAATAAAAAATTCCATAGATGAAAACAATAATATCTAGAAGTAAAATACACTGGGGATGGATAAAAAGCACATCAGACATTGCAGAATGAAAGAATAATAATCCTTAAGACACAACAATAGAAATAAAAAAGAAAACACAGAGCCCTGGCGGCCTGGGGTGGCTCAGTTGATTACAGCGTCTTCCCATGCACCAAAAGGGTGAAGGTTCAATTCCTGGTCAGGGCACATACCTAGGCTGCAGGTTCAATCCCCAGTTGGGGTTCATATGGAAGGCAACCATTCGATGTTTCTCTCTCACATCAATGTTCCTCTCTCCCTCTCCCTCCCTCTCTCTCCCCCACATCCTTCTTTGCTCTCTAAAATAAATGTATTTTTTAAAAAATAGATAAAAGATGAAAAAATATGAACAGAGCACCAGTGAGCTATTTGACAACGTCAAGCAACCTAAAAGTCACTATGGTCCTGGCTGGTATGGCTCAGTGGGTTGAGTGTCGTCCTGCAAAACACACTGGTCACAGGTTCAACTCCCAGTCAGGGGATGTGCCTGGGTTGCTGGCTGGTGCCCGGGAAGGGTGCGTGCAAGAGGCAACTGATTGATGTTTCTCTCACACTTTAATGCTTCTCTCTCTCTCTTTCTCCCTCCCCTCCTCTCTAAGAATAAATAAAATCTCTAAAATAATAGTCATAAAAAAGTCATTATTTTAAAAAGTCATAATGGAGGAGAGAACAACAAAATACTGTTGGGAGAATGGTGGAAAACCTTCCATATTTGATGAAAACTATAAAGCCACATATCCAAAAGCTTGACAAGCACAAGAAATATGAAGAAAACACCACCAAAGCACACCATAATGAAATTGCTTTAAAAATGACAAAACTGTAATGCAATTATAAGA